GACAGAAAAGGCACAAATATCAAATTCGAATGCAAAGATGCATTAAAAAAAACCTCTTATGAGGAGAAGGTGAGGTCAGGAAGGTAAAAATTATGCGCATGTGGAGGAAACTGGCGAAGAGGCAGCAAAATGTGAGTATTTGTCTGAAACTATTTGTGCTAATACGCTGTGAGCAGCATATGAAGGGGGGCCGTTTTTAATGACAGGAGTTGCTGTCCAAACTGACCTTTGACCTTGAAAAAGTTCTGGGCAGTTCTTATCATGCGAGATTAAAAATTTAGGAATAAAATTCCACAACTGTGCCAGCGCCGGGGCTGATTTATTCCATGATCTTCATTCTTTGGATTCAAATCCAGACAAAATTTTGTAATTGGCCAACCAAAAATGCAAGCATAATTCTGGGGCCGGTAGGTCGTCAGAGAGTTTTATCAACTTCTATGACATTCTCTGCACCGGTCCTTTACCTCAGCTGCTAATCTTTAATCTGGAATGTTCGGAACAAAATGCATGATCTGGAATCGACCCACACTTATCCTGACTTCGTTTAATCCATATATAGGTTAATTTTGACGATTGGAGCAAGAAATCCAAGAAAATGACGAGATTGTTATTTAATCTCCAGGATTTACGAACTGAACATCTTCATATCAACCTTAGAGTCCACCGCACCGTGACCTCTGACCTGTTTTGGAGCCAAGGGAGAGAATAGCTACAGAGCCGGTATTTTCGGGTTAAATTACTGAATTATGAAAAATTAAGTAAAGGGAGTTGAGTAATTGACCTATGACCTTGACCTTGACCTAAGACCTTTTCTTTGGCAACATTTTTTCGTGAAATCAGCACTTAACTCTTCGAAATGTAAGCTGTGATGATAAAATTTCCTCATTTTTAATACGATAAACTGGGACTTTTTGACCTATTGGTGTAAAATCAATTCTCCACATTTCGTCATATTAAACCACTATCACCCCACTGCCGATTATTACCGAAACGCAAAGCTGTACTGACCTTTTTGTAGTGGTCACTATTTGTCCTCTAGAACGTGTCGAAGAAAAGTGAAGTGTATTCAGGCAGAGAGTAGGTTAAAATTGTGTATTAAGGGACATAAGTTGGTGCCCTTTTTTCCGCCTTTATAAGTATCGGAAGTCAG